TTATATATATATACTTTAAAATAATTACTAAACTTTTTTCTTATTAATCTCTTTATAATTATTATTTTTAATATTAAAAGAGTTTTAACTTTAATTTTATTATAAAATATTAAGTAATATTATAATTAATATATATCTTTAACTTTTTATATTTAGTTAAACTTATAATTACTTTACTTTATATTCTTTAGAGATTAGTTATTATTATTTAGCTTTTAAAAAATTAATATAAAGTATCTTTAATAGAATTTAAATCTATAAAAAAGTTAAAAAATATATATTAATTCTTATATTATTTTAATACTTTATAATATAATTAGAATTTAAATAATTTAAATATTAAGAATTATAATTATTAAATAATAATAATAATAAAAAAAGTATTATAGATAACTTTAAAATATATATAAGTAATATAAATTTTAATATATTTATATAAAGTAATTAATTAACTACTAATATAAAATATAATATATTATAGTAAATAAATATTTTATTATAAATATTACTAATTATTAAAATATACTAGAAATTATAATATAATAATAAATAATATATATATAAAGGTTTTATTTAAATTAGATTTATATCTAATATAATAAAATATTAATATAACTTAATTATAGTTTTTATTATTATTGTAAAGATAAAAGTATTAAATAAACTATAAAAACTTTACTAAAGTAATTTTAAAAAAAATATTAAAAAAATATTAAAATATAAAAATAATTAATATATATATATATTAACTTCTTATATTTAACTTAATTTATAATGATTTTATTTAATTATTTTTATATATTAGTTATTATATTATTTAATTATTAGAAAAATAGATAAAATATTTTAATAAGATTTAAATCTGTAATTTATATATTAACTTATATAAAATTTTCTAATATAAAATTATTATATTAATTAAATTGTATTAATTAAGTTTATAGTTTATTTAGAATTTTTGAATTTATTATAATAGAAAAACTATAATTAAACTATATTAATATTTTATTATATTAAATATAAATCTAGTTTAAATAAAAACTTATTACTTTTTATATTATTTACTATTATTTTATTATTTTTAATATTTATTAATAATTAATAACTTTTTATAAATAAAATATAAATTTACTATTAAAGTTATATTATATATTATCTATTATTACTTTTTTTATAAAAATATAAATTTTTATATTATTTTTATATACTTTTAAATAATTAATAAATCTTTTTTTATTTTTCTTAGAATTATAATTCTTTAGCTATAATAAACTTCTATAACTTAACTAAAGTTAAATATAATACCTTAGAAATATACTTAGTTAAAGTAATTATATAAGTAGTATTATTAGTATAAAAGCTTTTTACTATCTATATAAGCTTTATATAATATTACTAGTAGATTTTTATAAAGTACCTTACTTTTAATATAAAATATATATAAAATTAAGTATCTTTAAAAATTATCTATATTTATATTATCTAACTACTACTATTACTAAAGATATTATCTTCTTTCTATTATTACTACTAATTAAAACTCTTAAAACTTACTAATTTAATTAAAGAAATATTTTTATTATTTTTAATAATTATATATATATTAAACCTAGATTAATAGTTCTTCTATATTAATTTTTATTATAGCTAGTATTATTACTATTACTATTATTATTAGTAAAGCTTCTAATATTTATCATTTTACTTAAAATATTTTTTTATTATTTTTAATAATTATATAATATAATT